TACACCGCAGCCCAAGTGCTCATGCCCTCCTGGCTATGAAGTAGTTGACACAAGTAACTTGAACAAGGGTTGCAAGCCTAAGTTTAATCTTACATGCTCACAGTCCCAGCAAGTGAAATTTGTGCAGATTCAGCAAGTAGATTTCTATGGATTTGATCTCAACTATAGTGAACCCATTTCATTTGACAATTGCAGAAAATTTTGCTTGGAGGATTGCCGGTGCGAAGCATTTAGCTATAGGCTAACAGGGGAAGGTAGGTGTTATACAAAGAGTGCTCTTTTCAATGGGTACAAGTCTCCAAATTTTCCGGGGAGCATATACTTAAGACTGCCTATGAGTGTGGAAGCATCACTATCTACCAAGCTAAATGCCTCCGATGCATGCAGCAGGACCAATGTGACCAAGGTTGTAGTAGGTTCTCCTTCCGTGTATGCTAATTCCACTAAAAGGTTAAGATGGGTGTATATGTATTGGTTTGCTTTTGCAGTTGGTGCAGTTGAAATTCTCTTCATACTTTCAGCTTGGTGGCTACTTTTCAGAAGACGTGGTGCAGCAGCTCCAATAGAAGATGGATATCATGTGATTTCAAGTCAATTTAGAATGTTTTGCTATCCTGAGCTCAAGAAGGCAACCAAAAACTTCAAGGAAGAGCTGGGAAGAGGGGCTTCTGGGGCTGTTTACAAGGGTGTGCTGGCAGATGAAAGAGTGGTAGCTGTCAAGAAATTGGCAGATATATATCAAGGGGAAGATGTATTTTGGGCAGAAGTAAGTACAATTGGAAAAATCAACCACATGAACCTAGTGAGAATATGGGGATTCTGTTCAGATGATAAACACAGACTCCTGGTCTCTGAGTATGTTGAAAATGGTTCCTTGGACAAGCACCTCTTCCCCCCAAACTTTCTTGGATGGAAAGAGAGGTTTAAAGTTGCAATAGGGATAGCTAAGGGTTTAGCCTATCTTCACCATGAGTGTCTAGAATGGGTTATCCATTGTGACGTGAAACCTGAGAACATACTCCTAGACAGTAACTTCGAGCCAAAGATTGCAGATTTCGGGCTAGCAAAGTTATCTCAGAGAGGCAGCCTCAGTTCAATGTTCTCTCGAATTCGAGGAACGAAAGGGTATATGGCTCCAGAGTGGGCTTTGAACCTTCCAATCACTGCCAAAGTGGATGTTTATAGTTATGGAGTGCTGATTTTAGAGATGGTGAAGGGGATCCGACTTTCGAGTTGGGTGGTGGAGGATAGTGAGGATCAAGAAGCAGAGCTGACAAGGTTTGTGAGGGTGGCTAAAAAGAAAATCCGATGTGGGGAAGACCAATGGATAGAGGATATGTTGGATCCAAGGTTAGAAGGGCAGTTCAGCAGAAACCAAGCAGCAAAGATGGTTGAGATTGGTGTTTCCTGTGTGGAGGAAGATAGGAGCAAAAGACCAACAATGGATTCAGTGGTACAAGAGTTGCTAGAATGTGCAGATGAATCTCATGCTGGTTCTCCACACAAGAAATAACTGCATTTAAGCTTTAAATGCCCTTTTCTTGGTTTTGTTTTAGCCATTAGCGCTGTTGTTAGCTTCTGTAAAAGTCTACTCTAACCGCATCCTGTAATATTTGCAATGAAGTGTGGATATAGAGGCCTATAATATTTTCGCTTTTGTACAACTCATTTTGCTATCACATCTGTAACCCAGGTTGCAGTTAACTAGGTAGTTAAATTGGGTATTAAGTTAACCGGGAATCATTTTGGAAATTGAGATACTCAAATGCAAATCGGGTCAAAATTCAAGGACTAATAAAACGATTAAGCCTAAGTTAACCATATAAGATAGAATGTCAACTTTTTTTTTCAGGACTTTTCTTATTAAGAGGGGTGATAGCATACTAAACTCACACACTACACACGGATGCTAGGACTCGCCCGTGACATTACCTAGGGGAGCAAATACTCCAAACCACTATGCTAGTGGGTCCTTTGCAGATAGAATGACAACTTAAGATATAAGCGTCAACATAGAAATGTCCAAATTTATAAGTAAAATCTGTAGGTTCATCCCACACCGCACAATGGAAGGAATTGGACATTTGCTTAATAGATGGCTGGCAGTATGACCGAGTCATTGAATCTGATAGACTTGTATTATTGCTTGGAAAGAAAAGCATTAAATAAAATAACAGTAGTTAGTTCTAGAATCAAGAAATCTGATCTAAAAAGTTGAATTTTGTGCATACTTGGAAGATTTTGCATAACAATCCAAAAAAGAGGAAAAGAGATGAAGATTCTGCGGAATTTCATTGCAAGAAATTTTGCAACCTTATATAGTCCAGATTGGCACACGAGCATCTCCAGGCCTAAAGCATTTTTCAAAACCTCCAATGGAAGTTCTTAAATTTCTCATTCTTTTGCTGTTTGCAGCAACAGTTGATTGGAGTGAAGCAGGGTTGCCCAGCTTAAGGCAGGGGAGCTCCTTGAAAGTTGAGGAAGAGAGTGACTTCTTGGTTTCACCAAATGGAACTTTCTCCAGTGGATTTTACAAGGTTGACACCAATGCCTCTTGTTATTCAATATGGTTCACCAATTCTGTCAATAAAACAGTTGTCTGGATGGCTAACAGAGATAAGCCTGTTAGTGGAAGAGGGTCCAAGCTAACTCTCCACAGAAATGGCAACTTGGTTTTGACTGATGGGGTTGGATCAATTGTATGGTCAACCAACACTTTCTCTAATGCAGGTGTGGAGGCTCGGCTTCTTGAGACCGGAAACTTGGTGTTGATCAACCAAGCAAAGGAGGTCCTCTGGCAGAGTTTTGATTCTCCTACAGATACTCTTCTACCATCACAGAAACTTGTCAGGAACACAACCTTGGTGTCCATGAGAAGTCAAGGTACATACTTATCTGGATTCTATAACTTCAAATTCGGTGATAGTAATGTCTTATATCTCGTTTACAATGGCCCTCAATTTTCGAGTGCTTATTGGCCAATGCCAGGTGTAAATGTTTTTGACTTTGGTAGAACACCTTACAATAGCTCTAGAGTAGCAATTTTGGATGGGGTTGGGGAATTTATATCAAGTGACAATTTGGTGTTTAATGCATCTGATTATGGGTTTGGTCCAAAGCGTCGTTTAACACTGGATTATGACGGCATGTTAAGATTGTACAGTCTAGATGAATCAACGGGGCTCTGGGAACTGTCATGGGTGCCTGATGGTGTGGATGCTTGCCTGGTTCATGGCTTGTGTGGTGCATATGGTATTTGCACTTACAAACCACAACCTACTTGTAGTTGCCCTTATGGTTTCTCCCTAAACGATCCTTCAGACGGGTCGAAAGGCTGCTCACCTTCGTTCGATTTGAGTAATGATGCAACCAAGTCAGACTTCATGGTGCTTCCTAACACAGATTACTATGGATATGACATGGAAACCTATGCTCTTGGAATTTCTTTTAGCGCATGCAG